AAATCTTTTGTTTTGAAATATCAATATAAAAATAATAACATTAGTTAACCGTGTCAAATGGTTAATTTTGTAAGGATTTGTTAATATTAGTTAACTGTCAAATGGCTGATTTTGTAAGGATTTGTTAATATTAGTTAACTGTCAAACGGCTGATTTTGTAAGGACTTGTTAATATTAGTTAACTGTCAAACGGCTGATTTTGTAAGGACTTGTTGATATTAGTTAACTGTCAAATGGCTGATTTTGTAAGGACTTGTTGATATTAGTTAACTGTCAAATGGCTGATTTTGTAAGGACTTGTTAATATTAGTTAACTGTCAAACGGCTGATTTTGTAAGGACTTGTTAATATTCTGAGGTGAAATTGTTAAACAGATATGTCAATACGAACACATTTCATATTTGTAATTTAAAGCTTACGTTGTATTCTAATCTTCTCTTGAACACTCTTTATATGTTCCAATTGTTTACATCATTACCTTCCTTATCATAAGCTTATTCTCATTACAGTTTTTGATTTTTGCAAGGAATACAAGCCATGGAACAAATTAATGCTGATTACTTTTATCAACTTCATGCAGTTTGTATCACAGTCCTGAGACAAGTGCAACTAGTTCTTCTGCAGATACAATTCTCTGAAATACAAGCTCAGAGCTCATCATTCTCTGTCAGCAAAGAATACAACAGCTTGTCATTGCCAGTTCAGATTTATCATCGGTGTTGTGGCCCTTCTGATCTAGTTTTAATTGGAGTTCTTGATGTTAACGTTCGTCGTGATGGTAGAGGAGAGCTTGTGGCAGAAGATACCTGACGTACAGCAGGTGATTGTTCAGCACCTGTCAAAAGATATAACCATCAGTTAATTCACATCACTTTGTTTTGTCTTCTTCTTAGTGTTCACTGGCTATAAACTCTGGTGGAAAGTTCTGGTTGTTTGTCCACTTTTGGACTTTGATCTTGTTCCAGAACTTGAGTTTTGCATGCAAATCCATTTTACAGGCCCAGCTTTCTTGTATGCTGTTTGTAAAACATTGCTTTCTCACCTCTCAGGCTGATGAGCCCTGACTATGAAGAAAACACCCCTAACTAGTTGCCTTTTACAACATGTTCATTTTGGGGAGGGGGGGGGGAGTGAGTTAATTTATTTTCCAGCCAACATTGAAACTGGGAACCCATGCCTGGATCTCTGCTCAACTCTTTCTTTCTCAAGCAGTCACTGCTGTGATTCATAAAATTAATTCCCATCCCATACAAGACTGCAGTCTTGATGTAGATATTCTTCTTCTTATTCCTCTACCTTCTATCCCCCAGTGGAGAATAGGCTCTTAATCAACTCCTGCCTAGTTGTCCATGTGTTTTTTTTTGTCTGCTTTTATGTCTATGCTCCTGTGGATTCTAGTGCAAAGATATTCTAGTCACATTTCTCTAAGGATTTCTCAACATGTGTCCTATCTAGCACCAGAAGCCAATACTGGTGCCCAGTTATAACTATTCTGGAAGTTAACTGGGACATCTAAGATCTACCATGTTGGTTTCCCCTTCAGGATGAGATTCTTCAAATCTCATGACCAAACCTTCAGCTACCAGCTGGTAGGGAAAAAAACACAGGAAAATAGATCTTTTTCTTCTTCTGCTTAGCTTTAACCAGCTGTAAAGTTCTGGTTGTTCCTCCACTTCTGGACTTTGGTTTTGTGCCAGAACTTGAGTTCTGTGAGCATCTGTTTGACAGATCTAGCTTAGTTTATATGCATTGCAGACTGATGATTCCTCATCCTCAGGCAGATGCACTCTGATTTTGAAAACAGATAGATATATTCATCATATTTCTTTTTCTTCCTATCATTCAGTGGTTATTTATTAATGATGCACAGCCTCTTTCAAAGCAGTTAAACTTGTTTTCTCTGTGAGTTAACTCCTCTCAAGCATCTCTTAAATAATGTTGGTCATCCACTTGTAATCTGCTGGGAGGGACAGAGGAAGACATACTGTCACGTCTGAACAAAGCTAGAGCTGCTTTTGGAAGGATGAAGCAAATCTGGAAATCCAACAATTACTGCAGAGGAACACAACTCTGGCTCTACAAGAGCATCATTTTGCCAGTTCTTCTCTATGGAGCGGAATCCTGGAGAATGACCAAAAAGGATGCACACAAGCTGTCCACCTTCCACCACACATGTCTACGTAGAATTATCAAAATTTTCTGGCCAGATACAATCTCAAACACTAAACTACTTCAAGCCACAAACCAAGAAACTTTAGACAGTAGAGACCAAGAGAAGATGGAAATGGCTTGGCCACGTTATGAGAATGACTTCTGATATACCTGCCAAAACAGCTCTCACATGGACACCAGAAGGAAAGAGAAAACAGGGGCGCCCAAAAACAACATGGAGACGAATGATGGCAAGTACCTGAGTGCGGCATCTTTGACATGGAAAACTGCACTGAAGATTGCACAGGACAGGAAAGCATGGAAAGTCCTCTCTGAAGCCTCATGTGCCACTAGGCATAACGAGAACTGATGATGATGATGATCCACTTGTGATGCAGACGGTCAGTTCTCTTCATGAGTTAACTCCCCTCAAAACCTCCACCAATAATGTGTTGGCCATCGTTTTCCAATGCAGCTAACCAGTTCTCGCTCTTCGAGTCATCAACAAATAATGTCACCTATCTTTTTCTGTTGCAGACAACTAGCTCTCTCTATGAGTTAACTCTTTTCAGTAAGCAGATAAATGATGTCACTCATCCTCTTTATTGTGTGTGCAGACAACTAGTTCTCTCCATGTGTTAACTCTTTTCAGTCAGTCAACAAATAATTTCACCCATCCTCTTCTGTTGCAGACAACTAATTTATTTTCTCTGTGATTGAACTCACTTTAAGACAAAAGCGTAGGTAGAGATTCCTTGGCCTGTGACACAATGCAAATCAACATTCACTGACAGTGAACAATACATACACCTGACCGTAACCAAACACTATGTCACACCATTACAGACACTTTTTTAGCATACCATTTTCAGATAAGGTCCCTAAAGATCGTCGTCTCTGGTCATTACTATCATTCTTCTCATTTGATTCCCTTGACTGCTGAGAAAACAATATATATATATATATACACACAGACATATACACATGTATAATCGTTTATACATGTATTTTTCACAGTTAAATTTGTTACATCTCATCTTGTCTTGGTTCGCCTGGCTCAAAACATAAAACTACACCTGTGATTCAGTGAGTATGATCCACAGGGTTCCGGCAGATTTGGTGCAATGGTTTATATAATTAGAGAAGTCCACCATGCATGGAGTCACCTTTAATTTTGTTCTAGGAGAAACAGGCATCAATGGAAATGAAAAAGCTGATAGGTTGGCTGCAATCCGCTATTGCTACCTACCGTCAACCTATGGACCATGATATTATTATTCATACACTTTGAGAAATGGGAAGGGTGGAGGACTTTGGGGGCAGTGAATCCACATCACTCACCAGAATGATAGATCTGGAAGTTAAGATCAGCATAGACAAAACCGAGAGGCACATCAGAGAACTTGTAAATCAACAATGAACTGGTACTATTAGCCGCCGCAAGCTGGGGTTCATACTGAAGGGAGGTTCTGAGCACCTATGGACATGTCTGGAGTGCAACGATGATAACCCAACTAACTAACTAATATCATCTTTGTGATCTTGTACCTTTGGGTGCCAAAGTATGAAGGTTCCTGGGATGCTGTTATGTCCTCAGTGCATTGTTTATTTGGCTGGCCTCTCTTTTGATTTCCATGTAAGTAAGCATGAAGGTATAAACTAACTGGGTCCTCGCTAGCCAGGTGGATGAACTCATCTAGATCCATTCCCCCCTCCCCTCCCCTTTTGCCCAACCTGCAACTGACCTAGCAAACCAGCAGGGGAATGTTCTGATGCTTGAATAAATATAAAGAAGGAAGTAAGTGTATACATTCTCCTCAATATTTCAAAGGATAAGTAATTTGATTAACTCTTTGAGTCCCAGGAGGTTTAGCATCACAGGCCCAGGGGATAGTAAATAAAGTCATAAAATCGGCGCATCATGAGTTCATGGGACTCAAAGAGTTAATAAGGAATAATTGTTGCCATCTGTGGGTTTGTAATTCTGAAATACCCATTTCAAATCCAGCTGTGGGCGATTTGGCAGCAGATCGTTTTGTGTTGATACTGACGGTGGTATTGAGAGCCAAGTATTAAAAAAGCAATGACAAATTACTGAACAGAAAATTACCTAGTAAAACCAAACAGTTAAAAAAATGCTGAGGCTGGTCCTGCAATGTAAAAAATACACAACTAAATTTGTTTCCATGTATTTTAAATAAATTTGTGCAGAGATTGTGTACAGTGTTCTCAACCTAAAGTACGTCCAGAATTAACACTTTGGGCAGTCACAGATAATTGAAAATTGGTCCCCGTGTGTGTTCCAGGTTCCTATCGTGGGGAAAACAAGAATAGACCCACTGCCTCCCCAACAAGCATGTCGAAGGAGTCGAGTAATTGTGAGGCTCCTTTGAAGTATGAATGCATCTGCCCAAGCGGCAAGGAACAACCAAGTGCATACAAATAAGCCAGTAAAATAGATGTACATGCAAAACTATGGCTCTGGCGCAAAGCCAAAGTTTGAATGGACAAACAACAAGGACTTTCCACAGGAGCTTTCAGCCGGTGAACAAAGAAGAAGAAAAAGATCCTGTGAAATATGTCCTTAATAAAATGTTTAAATGTTTACATGTTATGCTTGGTGTAACGAGGAAAGATTGACTTGTGAACAATGATATCTGGAAGAGAGTTAGCACAGAACCAATAGTGAACTTTATCTGTGACAACAGATCAAACAGTTTGGCCGTGTAACCAGCTTGACATCAGAAAGGGCACACAGACAGAAATGTTATTTAAATACAGCAGTGACAGAGCCAGAGGTGGATCACGCAGAAGATGGACAGCAGAAATATCAGAGACAATGAAAAGTACTAAATACAAAGTGAACAGAAGGGCCAGATCCAGAGATCTCTTCCTGCCTTGACGCTGCAAAGGCGTTCCAGGAGTAGAGAAAACAAAAAGAAGAAAAAGAAGAAGAAGAATATATTGTTTTTATCCTCAATAGTTTCTTCACTAACTGACAAAATAATTAAAGAGTTACACACCAGTGAAGATACACCCAGCTTTTTTTGCTGCCTATGTGATCCAGCTGCTGTCTGTCCCTTGTTTGTAGGTTTCGGTGGTGACACCGTAGCCTTGGGAAGCTCAAAACTGTTTAACATCACATGCTCCTTTAGTGGGTACCAATGGGGCTTGTTGTCAAGGAAGGCAAACTCTGGAGAAAGTAGGTCATACACAGTTATCTGTAAAAGAACTAACTGTTTACTTTTTAAAATGCATACATGCACCCATGCATGCTCGTATACACATACTTACATACCCACACACACTAACTGACTAATCTAAAACATACAAAATATTTGATGATAAAGATTTTGTTTTATTTTACTGCATAAATTCTCAATCATCCGCGGCGGCGGCCGTCATGCACATAATCCACTATAACCCATAAATTTAGGTATTAGCTCAAGGTCTCTTAGGTTCCCCAAAGCTTTGCCATCATGTCTACTGGATGTGGCCATATGTTATTTTGCAAGATCCTTCAGGAGAGGAGTCTTGCGTGGAGTCTGTTCAGCATGAAGATACCGGCAGAGAGCTGTTTATTTCGTAACATAATTTATCTGAAATGTCTGATGTGTAAACAAAAGATGATAACATGGTCTGTTCTATTAAGGTGTTTGAGGAAATCATTTTTTTCAGTCAACAACATGAATTAAAGGCATCTTCAATAAAATTATAATCATTATACCATAGTACATGTTTATTTTTCAAACTGGAACTTGCTATAGAAACATTTATTCTCGCAGCTCTCTGCTGATAAGACAATTCAGCTTGCATAAGTAATTCACCTGTGGTTACCATAAGGAAACAAAGAGTAGCAACAGTGTAACTTTGTTTGCATGTCACAAGAGGCCATTAATGAGTATTATCATAAGACTGACCACCTCAGATCTTAGCTGCAAAATCTATAATCATAATGAAGGCTACAAAGGACTTCATGAGAGTTGGTTGAGGGACTGTGCTCTATCAAGAGGTATCCGTGGCAAAGTGTTCAGAGATATCATTACTTCTCTGACAGTTGTGGATTCAGTTTTAAAATCTCTTTAGTTCACAGGTTGTTGTGGTTGTTGCTTGAGCTACAGACCTTTGTGCTTTGTTTGGTGCTCTCAGCAAACAAACAGCTGCTCTGCAAGGAGAGACTAAGCCATATCAGGTAATATCCTGTGCCATTGTGGCAAATCCTTTCACCTTTTTTTTCCCGCCATTCCATTGAGAGATGAAAGTTATAAATAGAAGGAGAAGCAGACAAAGAAGAAGAAGAAGAAGCAGAAGAAGAAGAAAAAAATGATGATGAAGAAAAAGAATAGATCTGTTAGTTGTCATTTCATCTATGAATTTATATAAGCACAGATGAAGGACTTTGCCAAAGATGTAACTTCATGAAGTGTACTATTACCTTCCAGAGTAAATCAAAATAGCAAACAGATAGAAGCATGAGTAAAGAAGGCAAATGCTGTTACCTAAAAGTTGGCCCCACTGCTTTGACACCCAGATGTCTCCCTTCCAGCAAAACAGCGAATGATTAAAAGCATCTTTATCTCTACTTTATGCTATCAGTGCAAAACATGGACAATGGATAGGCCACTAAAACAGAAAATAACTGCATATGAAGTGTGCGGTGTCTGTGAGGTCACTAACAACACAAAAAGTGATAGGGTTACGAACCCCACCATTAGAGAGAAAGTTGGAATAAGACCATGTCTGGATTATATTGACAGACAAAGAATGAAATGGTTCAGCCATCTAGTGAAACTGCATATGAGACTTCTTACAGCAAAACATCTGGAAGGAATGCAAGTGGTAGACCAAGAAATAAATGGATAAATGGTGTAACTTGAACCTTCAAAAAAGATGAACACATTTTAAACCAAGCCACCCAAAAAGCGCAAGACAAATACAGAAAACCGCGACACTGGGCTACAACCTGGTATCTGTGAGACGACAAAAAAGAAGAATAAATGGAATAAAAAAAGTTGGTGCCTGAAGTTCATTTAAGAAATTTCCAGATATAGATATATATTTCAAGCCATTGAAAGAAGATGCAGAAGAAGTTGGTGCTTACTTTATTTTAACTACACAGCAACTTACCTCTAAGTTCTATGATGAGTTCGCCCAAAAAATCATTTGCCTTAAATCTGTCATAGTCCCAGACAGTTATCTCCAAGACTTTATTTTGTAACTCCAACCTGGCAACATCATGGAACATGACCGTTTGGTGCCATTCTGGATTTAAAGTCTTGGCAATGTGTTTTGTTCTGCGCTTATTTTCAGGTCTGCAGAGTAATATAATACATATGATGTATATTTATTTAATAAAATATAAGGATGTTAAGCTCTGGTGAAACGCAAAGATTTAATTGGTCGGCACCTTTCAGTCTTTCCAGACGACAGTATTAAATTGTGCTGTAGGGAAATGTGAGAAAGCACAGCACATGGCGAATGTGACTAGCAAGATCTGCTTACATTAACAAATAACAAAATTCCTCCAACTTCAAGAGCGAGAGATGTCAGAACCATTATTGCCCTTGCATGTATTTAATGTGCTTCTTCTCAGACAATGAGTTCATTTTGCCCCAGAAACACACATACAAAAATAGGCCATGCTCCCCTTATAATTCCATACAAAAAATCCATTGAAGAAAAACATTTGACATAGGTCACTAATAAATTTGGAAAAATGTATTTTTCTACATAATTTTTTTTTAAAACAAAATATATAAAGATATATAAAAGTGGTAATTAATAAACATGAAAACTGTGAACCATTAAATTGAATACATCCCTCCCCATCGCCAGGAACTTAAACAAAACAACCCAGTATTGGGTTCTTACCGTGACCCCATGACCATTATTAATGGGGATTATGGGAAACTCTGAAGTCAGCTTGGCTTTAAAAAAGCTATTCAGCTTAAAAGACAACCCTCCCTCCTCTCCCCCAAATGCTAGTGTTAGTTAATTTATTCATATCCTAAACTGGTCATCTACAGACAAGTTGGAAAAGTGACGTTTACAAGGAACTGGACCCAACCGGAAGTGTCAATTGTTTTCAGCTTCACTGGTGAAAGGGTGAACCTATCTGCAATATTTTCTCCTTTAACCCCATTGCCTTCCTGATTTTACTACACCACTGAATGACACCCCTCTGAGGTATCCTCTACTTTTGTGGTAGTGAGGCTTGTGTGTTGCAATGATTCCCCAGAGTTATGCTTCTTCTTCTTCTTCTTCTCTTCCACCTTTTACCTCGGCATTCTTCTTTTCCACCATTTACCTCAGTTAGGTGTTGGGGGAAGATGTAAGGATCATTTGTGCACTTTCTTCTTATGCATTGTTCATTTCTGTTAGGTTGCTCCTGATGATGTTGCTCCATATCTTGTGTGGTCTTCCTCTTGCTCTGTGTTCATTATATTTCTTCAGCATGGCTCTCTGTGGCAGTTGATACCAGGGCATTCTCGTCAGGTGGCCAAACCATTTCATTTGTTGTTCTTTAAAGTCCTTTTAGAGTTATGCTGATAGCAGCAAAGTTAGTAGCAGGGTCCTTGATCTCATACATTGGATTACAGAGTCCCATTGGGGGAGGGGGGGGGGGGGACCCACTGCCCACTAAGAATAACAAAGGGGAAAGACTTTGTTGGAGTTGAAGTTGTTTCCCTTTGTTTTTGTTGTGTAGTTAGTTCATATCAAGAAAGGCCCCGGCTGAAACGTTGATTTGTCCATTTTTTGCATGTTGTTCTCCTTTTCCCTTTCGTTAAGCTTTTAGTCACAGTTCATTGGATTCAATTCTCGGTATTAGCTGACTGCAGTCACCAGCATTTTCACCACTCTTAGTATGACTGTCTACACTGTAATGAATTTTATTAGATCCACTGTGTTCAGTGTTCACACTGTCAGAAACAGTACTAAAAGTATTAATATACTCAACAACTGCTTTCTAATGCCTTTACCTACCCTCTTCCAGGCAACAGGTACAACTTCACAAAAGGATCTGACTGCCCATTCAGATCTTGTGGTCTTAAATTTCTGGCTTGTATCACATGGATGTTGAGGGTGTTGTCAAAATCATCATGGCTTATCTGAAGCTGTAAGGAAACATCAAGAAACTTTTTTTATGTCAGTGGTGGTTTGGGGATATGATGCTGGACGCATATTACTAGACTAAATCCAATTTCATAATTTTTAGGACGAAATTTTTTGTCATTTGAAGCCCTACTCTGGCTTTTGCCAGGGGCCGCAATATAGGCAGGCCATATATATGGCCAAATGTCTGAACGCGGTTTCTGAGACCTCTCCACGGCGATCCTCATCCACATGGTGGCACTTTGTGTCATCGGGTGTTTATTGCTTGTGTGATGTCCAGGTGGGGTAGAAGTTCAGTTCAGTTCATTACTGGACTGGCAATTAGAGGTTGTGATGCGGTCAACATGATGTTTGATGTCTTTTACCTGGTACCCATTTTAGGCTGGGTCGACTTGGCAGCCAAGTTCAATTAAAACAAAAACACAAAAAGCATCTTGATGCAGTTTCAACCCCACGACCTTTGGACTGATAGGCAAGTGTCTAGTGCTATACTACTGCCACCCCCATTGGAAGCTGTACAAATGTCCTTTGTCCACGCCTCAAGGCATATTGGGCATATAGGGCTAGACCTATATTTTTAAAGACAAATCATCACTTGGTGGGTGATGTGGTCAGCATCACGCCGGCCACCATTACTTCCCAGAACTCCACCTGGTACTTATTCAAGGCTGGGTCAACCTGGGGGTCAAGGTTATTTTTGAAAATAAATTACCAAGAAAACAATACAAACATGTCCAAAAAATTTACTTAGGCTGGTCTTTGATCGTATGGTAGTTTGTCTTCACTGATTTATAAGACCATTGTGAGTATGGTTAATAATTATTATGTTTGAACATAAAATTGTGTGGTTATCAACACATGCACACATGCACGCAGGTGAGCATACAAACACGCAGGCATGCACACGCATGCACACACACACACATAATAATAGTAACAAGAAAGGTCTAAATTTTACTTACTTGTATTTCCCCTAATCCAAAATCTTCACCCTTTTCAGTCTGAAAAGAGTAAAGTATATTTCATACACATTTTCTACAACAAGCATCGATCTAATTTTAAACACTTATCAGGCATAAGAGTCAGGACAACTTTTAATAATCAAATAATAGTAATAAGCATAATAATAAATATTTGTTTTTAATTGTTATTATCAACAAATAGTTATAATGTATAAGTGGTACCTCAGTATACATCCTTACTCCATTCCAGATTCTTAGCTTTTACCAAACAAAACGTATACCAAACAACATTTCCTATAATGTTGAATGTTGAATTAAGAGTCGACATCACAGCACTTGGGACACTCCCATAAGTGCTCAGTCCCTATCTTCAGCAGCAAGTGAAGAGTTCCAGTTCCGTTGGTACTAGTAACCGTCTGATTGTATATCTGTTTCATCCTTTCCCTGAGTGTTGAGTGTCGGCCAGAATCCTCTGGTAACTCCTCGCAGCGCCATTCTCCTTAGATCTTAATGATCTCTCTGCACCTCCTCACTGTTCACTCGTTCCCGAAGGACCCTCACAATATCTAACTTGTCATACATCAATTCACCACCAAGTGGTGCAGAGCCAGCCAGTCTATCTGCCTGCTCATTTCCCAACACACCGGCATAACCTGGAGAAAATATCCAAAGGATACTAACTACCCGGGAACTCTGGTGAAAAGCAAGAATCATTCTTCCGTTGCCATGAAAATAGAAATCCTTTTGTTAGTGACATTATATACATTAAAACTAATTAAAAATTTGTTACTTAAATAAATAAATACAAAGGCAATTAGAACCCCTTTCGAATAAAACTTCAGAAATCTGAAATTCTTGTGTTTTTCTGTTTTTTTTCTGCCTATTTTCCCTAACTGAACACGGTTTTTAGGGTCACCAGCTCTATTTCTAAAAATCAGCCCAAAGAACTTTGCTTCTCCTCAAAATGTTTCAGAAATGTGAAATTATCTACACATTCTAGATAATGCTGTTACCACTTGTCTGGGCTTTGTTGGGGTGGTAGTTCTCTGCAACATTTTTGCCAACCATCCATTTGGCAGACATTTACAAATAAAGTCATGTCGTGACTTATTTTAACTCGTACTCTAAAACATGACCCATATTCCAAACAAAGGTTGTATACCAAGCAAAAATGTTTGTGTCTAACAGGATGAATACTAAGCTGATCTTGTTATAAGGTAGATGTTTAGCAAGATATCACCCTGTCTGCAACTTCTTCTGAAATTTTTTCCCTCCAATGGTAGTCTGGTAGTCTGGTAGTCTGGTAGTCTTAGTTTCAGCTTCATAGCAAACGGGTTGCCCCATCTTTGCTCCACTCCTGTGCCAGCGAAAAACACTCAGAATGTCTATCACAGTCCCTTGTGGAAAGATTGACAGACTGCTGTCTCAGCATATCTAGCATACACTCGCATTAAAGCATATGGTAGCCATCCGAAGTGCTAACACAAACAGTCCAACATTAGAAATGCAGTTCATCATTGATGATAGCAGAACTTGTCGTCAACAGATCAGCAGTTGTCCGCGTGATCAATTTTAATACGGGTCCCGCAAGCATTGAACGACAGGCATCGTGCCATTTTCTGAATCTACAATTCACACCACCACGTTGGTCACAGTCGAAAAAAAACATTCCAAATGCAATCCGCAGCTCACAGGGTCACGCCATGCATTCAACTCAGAAGCTTGGCGACGAAACTATATCCAGTCTACAAATGGAGCAAAAATTTGCCTCTGTTCCGAACGGCGCCGCTGTCTAGCGTCCATTTTAACCGGAAGTCTCCCTCCAATGGAATGTAGGCAGGCTCTTAGGCAACATATGCCAAGCTTTTGTGTAATTGCTTACTACTGGCTGAAACAGAAAAATATATTAGTCTCCATGATTTGTATAAAGGTTCCTAAATGAGCATAACAGTAACTGGTAACTTACCTCTTGTAACATCTTTAAAGGAAAAGCACTGATTTCTCTCCCCTTCTTGGAAGATTTTGATTTGACTGAAAGTCTGTAGTCTAAAGGTGGAGATGCCCTCAGACGGTCATTGTAGGCAGGACTTGGACATGTATCAGTGTCTGGTTTGTCGATTACCACAGATGGGTGGGACTTATCTTGTGTTGAGCTAGTAGGCAGAACCAGTTGCTTTCTTCTGTCTGTCTTTGCTTTAGCAGATGATGCTTGCTCTGTTGGTATCGCTTCAGCTTTTGACTGCTGTTGCTGTTTTGGAGCAGTGTCCTGTGGTGGTGAACGTCGCTGCTGATGCCTTGAAGAACTAGAATGCTGATGAGGAGTTAATGGTTTCTGTGAATGATAATGCTGTGGAGATTTTTCTGAACTAGGTAAATGCCCTTGCTTCTGTCTGCCAGAATGCAGGTGGCGTTTATCTGATTCCTGAAATGTACATAGAGGACAATTAGGTTTCGTGGTACATACATTTTTGGGTGAGTCAAGTTTTATACAAATGTAGAACATACATATGGAAGAGCTAAGTTTCATGCAACATATGTATGGGAAAGCTTAGGTTCATGAAACATACATATGGGAGAGCTGAGGTTCATAAAACATACATATGGAAGAGCTAAGGTTCACAAAACATACATATGGGAAAGTTAAGTTTCATGAAGCATACATATGGGAAAGCTAAAGTTAATGAAACATACACAATGGAGAGCTAAGTTTCACACAAGCAACATATGGAAGATCTAAATTTCAAGCAATATATATATATATGGGAGCTACGTTTCATTCAACACACATATAGGAGAGCTAAATTTCATGCAACATACATATGGAAGAGCTAGGTTTCATGCAACATACATATGGGAGAGTCCAGTTCTAAACACGTGCAGAAAATACAATTGTGAGAGCTAAGGTTCATGAAACATACATGTGGGAAAGCTAAGTTTCATGCAACATAATATGGGAAAGCTAAGGTTCATGAAACATACATATGGGAGAGCTAAGTTTCATGCAACATACATATGGGAAAGCTAAAGTTTCATGCAACATACATATGGGAAAGCTAAGTTTCATGCAACATACATATGGAAAAGCTAAGGTTCACGAAACATACATATGGGAGAGCTAAGTTTCATGCAACATACATACGGGAAAGCTAAGGTTCATTAAACATAGACAATGTAGAGCTAAGTCTCACACAACACACACATGGGAGATCTAAATTTCATGCAAGAAACATATGGGAGAGCTAGGTTTCATGCAACATACATATGGGAGAGTTAAGTTTTATACACAAGCAGAACATACATATGGGAGAGCTAAGGTTCATGAAACATATATATGGGAGAGCTAAGTTTCATGCAATATACACATGGGAGAAACAAGTTTTATGGACAATACTCATGGGGAAGTTCAGTTTCACGGAACATACAGATGGGGAATTTACATTTTATGGAGTATACATACGAGGGAGTTAAGTTTCACAGGATATACATATAAAGAATGAAGTTCATGGAACATACTTATAGGAGAGTTAAATTTCATGGAACATACATCTGGGAGAATTTAGTTTCTTGGATCACACATACAGGGAAAAATATGTTTCATGGAATATACATATATAAGAGTTAAGCTTCATGGAGGAAGCTGCCATGGTGTAGCAGCTAGATGCTTGCTTGCGGATCTGAAAGTCGGGAGTTCAGGTCCTGACAGAACCCAAAAAATTTTTTTTTAAATGGCCTTGGCTCCCAGTTCGACATAGCCTTAAATGAGTACCAGGTAAAGTCCCTGGAAGTAAAGGTGGCCGACATGATGTCGACCACATCACTCCCTAATTGCCTATAAGGTGCTTTAATAATATCTTACCCCAAAGAGTGGAAATCCACAGGTCATGGGACAGTCTATTTTTTCAGGGGGTGGTAGATAGGCTGCATGCAGTCATGGGACCTAGGCTGCAGGCAGTCGTAGGACCTAGGCAGCACTCTCTCGTGGGACATAGGTGGGTTGGGGTTAGGGCCAGTTCTAGATGCATCAGAAAGCTGGGAAACCCAGTCTTACCACCCTCTAAAATGTTGGACTGTCCTGTGACATCATCTGGGGTAGGATATTAATAAAGCACCAAATATACATATGGGATAGTTCAGTTTCATTGACCCCATGTTTTTAGAGATATACTATTAACTGTATGAGAAAGTAATTCAGCATTTCCAACTTCTTTGGTTTTCTTCCCAAATCTGCATCCTCATCATTCTGTTATGCTGTTTATTTGTCACACAGAACTCGTATATTCCTCAATTCTGTCCTATCCTAGGCAATTTATTCAATATCATGGATAGAATTCACTTCAGCATCCGTAACCTCTCTTATCAATATTCACCGTAAGGTTTTTTTTGTTTGTTTAACTCCTTCAGCACCAGAAGGTTGCACAGGCGATGCTAAAGTGAAGAAATAACTGTTATACAAAAGCATGAATGCATGGTATCACTTTCCAAGTGGCAATATGCACAAGGGTTATAACATTGGAGAAGCCAGATTTCTTTAGTTTATTATAACTAGATGTTAAACTTAAGAGATCACAATATTCTATAGGGTGGGGTTGGGGGGATGTCAGGGATAGTGTCATGCACCCACTGAGCATTATCCGAGACTGAAATAGTTAAGAGAAAAGGGGAAAAAAGCTCAAATTCTCAGTGATAGTTACTTACCTTATCCATTCTATTATTAGCTGCAGAAACTGAGGTAGATCCAGGAAGCTGCTGCCGATCTGAAATTGTAAGACTGGGGTCTGATCTTGGAGTGCTGCATGAAGATGACAATGATGGTGTAGCAATATCTTTAGAAGAACATGGAGAGTTGTCAGCCGGAGAAACTGTTTCTTGTATTTCTTGTAAGTGAGCAGCAAGCTGTCGTGGATCCACACCCTGCTTGCTGGCTGCATGTCCCCCTCTTGGTCTTGGTTGAGGTGCTTCTTTTACTAGAACAGATCAAACAGTTCTAATATTTTAGGGGAGAAACAGTAGGGGGTATGACTGTAACATTGTTTATTCAAAGAGAGAAACAGACTTAGACTATAACATAATCTGTTTAAAGTGAGAAACAGTATATATCAACTAGGGTGAAAGAAAACCACAGCATAATCTATTCAAAGTGAGAGACAGACTATAACATTATCTATTCAAAATATAGAAAGAGACTAACATTTTTTCAAAATAAGACTCAACTAGCATCATAACAAACTATAACATCATCTATTTGAAGAGAGACACAGAAATCAAAACAGATTACAATGGTGTCTCTTCAAAGAGAGAAACAGACTAAACAATGGTAAACAACACACCAGTATTGTCTATTCAACAAGCCCATAAGGGAAGCAAGAGCAGTAACATAGTTACTTTCCATGCATGTTTTAAGATGACTGAGAAGCCGCCATGGTGTAGTGGCTAGAATGCTCCCCAAAAGATCTGAAGGTTTAGGTCCTGACAGAGCTAGACATTTTTCAAAAATGACCTTGACTCCCAGGTCGACCTAACCTCAAATGGTTACCAAGTAAAGTCCTGGAAAGTAAAGGTGGCTGGTGTGATGCTGTCCATATCACCCACTAAGTGCCGATTGGTCTATAAAACATAGGTCTAGCCCTATATGCCCAATACACCTAGAGGCATGAAAAAGGATACTTTACTTTTACTTATAGGATGACTGCATTCAATCTTAAAAGACAGATTGCACAATATGTGGATGTTTACAGCTAAGCTGTGATATCCATACTTTTCAGCTCAGTTCATCCAATTTCAACAACATTTTAATTTGTCACCTAAAATTCACAGTGTGGATTTCGGGGCTCCATTGTCAGAGAAAACAAGAATAGACCCACTGCCTCCTGGACAAGCATGTCATAGAAGCCGACTAATTAGGGGCTTCCTTCAAAGTCAGAGTGCATCTGCCCGAGTGGCAAGGAACAACCAACTGCACACAAATAAGCTAGTAAAATAGATCATCATCATCATCATCGTCATAAACCACTTCTGCTGTTAAGCCTCGTGCGGTGGAATAATTTGGATAGGAATAATTTGCTATCCAGTGCCACTGGCTATTGTCATGCCATGAAGGCATAGAGTGTCTTAAATGTTGTCAATCCATGCTTTCAGCGGCTGTCCTCTTACTCTTGTAGCTGATTTTATGATATGTAGTGCTTGTGATGGTATTTGATCTTGCTGCATTCTAACGAGAAGCTCAAACCATATGATCTGCTGTTTCTTGAAGAATCTAGTACAAGGTGTCATTCCCACAATTTGCCTGACAGTATCTTTATTCACTCGATCTCGGATGGTTAGGATGGCTGCTTTTCTCAGCCAACTGGATGTGCATGCAAAACTCAGGTCCTGACACGAGTCTAAAGTCCAAATAGATGAGCAAATAGGACTTTCAACCGGAGCTTACAGCCGTTGAACACAGGAAGAAAACAAAATTGATAATTAGTCACCTATTATGATATGCTAGTTAAGGGGCATTGGGTTTATAACAAAGTATCACCACGCCCTACCCTGTCTGGATCCTATTTACATTTCCCGGCCCAGGATGAAAGTGATTTCCCTTGCCATTCATGCCTCATCAGGTTGCATGACCTCTCCTATGTTGCAGGGGTGTCAGATTTTCCTTGTTGTTAACAGTTTAACCCTCTTTTCTCGTTTTCTCTCACCGCTGGCTAGTGTGATTATTTTTACATTCTGCTACCTGCGCCACGGTTCAGAAGTATGGAAACAGTGATATTTTTTTATTCCTACGTTCCTTGTAAGTGATTTTTTTTTCCTCAAAGAGAAAAGGGGGGGGGGGGGGGGGAGAAAGCCACCGCCAACAAACGTAGAAATTCAAAAATATCTTACTTTCAATACTTTCAAAACTCAAGAACTGCTGAGCCTTCGGAGCTCCCCCCCCCCCCCCCCCGGTAGTACTTCTTACTTGTACACAGGCCTCTGTGGTGCCTGAAAAAGATGACAACACAAACATTATATACGCTGAGCGAATGCTAAACCAAGCCATATATATCATTAAAAATGACAACATCAGTGAGGTCCTGCAACCTGGCAAAGGCATGAATGACAAGGGAAGTCACTCTCATCCTGGGCTGGGAAACACAAATAGGACCCCTGTATGGATTTCATGTTACTTTGTAACAATCTGAAGCCCCAATACAACCTTGCCCTTGAACAAGGTTTCTGTGATTTTTACCTGGGAGATTCTCATCTGAGATTCTCATTATTTAGTGTGAGGTTCTAGTGGGGTTCAACTTCCCCTTAGTTGGTCTATCTACGCCCCTCCCCCCCCCCCCATCTCAAATGGGGCTCTGAAATCCACACATGGAATTCCAAATGGCTAATTTCTATGATAATTTTCTCTATTGTCTCCTACCTGACTCTTCACATTTTGGAGGTAGATTATCATAGGAAGATCTGCAACTATCTGGTTGAACATGCAAGCTCACAGGTGATAGTGAGGGCATCTGACTAAAAAAAAGTATTAATTAGAAATAAATCAAGCAACAAAGTTAATTTATTTAAAAATTGTAAATCATTATAAATAGACAAAAATTTTTATGATTATTTTGTATAACTATGTTGGTATCTTCGGGTTAAGCATTGTGAATGTGCTTGATAATTCTAAGATGTTGGGTTTGATCCTAGCTGCAGGCGATTTGGTAGCAGACTGCCTTGCATTGTGGTATCAAGAGCTGACCATTTAGAAAGCCATGACAAACTGCTGAATATAAAATTGCCTATTGAAATCACAAACAGTCAACAACAACCAGAATGCAATGGTAGGTTCTGCAATGACCTGTAAAGGATATGAACTAACCACATAACTATTTTCAGTTGTAGATAATTTCATTGTAGATGACCAGAAGACTAACAGAAATGAAAAGCATGAGTGTACTACTTTCATCGACATAACATATACTTGGTTATGTGTTAAAATGTATGGCCAGATTTATGTAGAGTGCTTAGACCAAACTATAAAAGACATAATAACATAACATGTGTTGTTTGATGCACACAGACAATAGCTGATCATGCAAGTTTCAAAATTTTAGGAAGTCAAGGCGTAATGTGTTTGTTATTGACTGTTTGAAAGATCAATGCTTTCCTTAAGCTGTGATAGAACATGCTACTGTGCAAATGTTAAATTTTTAGTACAAATATTTCACTTCATGCCTTACTAGGACCCAAATGGGACTTAAACAACAGGACACAGTGACCTCCTCTTTTGGGTTCAGAGGTCTGCAAGTAAAGAACCTTTTCCACGCTTTCAGGCACATTGGACATATAGGTCAGACCTTTAACTTATAGACCAATCGGCCTTTGATTGGGGAGGTGGGGGGGGGGGGGGGAGAGATCTGCTAGGCAGCACATCGGTCACCTTAACTTCCAAGCACTTTACCTAATACCCATTTTAAGGCTGGGTCAACCTGAGAACTATGGTCGATTTTTAAAAAATGGTTCTGATCCACAGGTGAGCGTAACAGCTACACCACTCTTTTATAGCCAGTGGTGGACATTATAACTTCCAAGCCACACTATTCTCATTGTTTTGTATTTGTATTTTCATTTATAGTTTATTTCTTCTGGGCGGCGGGGAGAGGGGGGATTCCTTGTATTCCATAGATTGTTTAGACCTCTATACACATTATTTTGTCTTTCTAAGATTTCATCACATTTTTTTCTATTCATTCACATTTTGGCGACATTTTTTCTTACTGTTATTTTATACTATATGATAATGTGGAGTATGCTTAGTTGCTCTTGAACAAGTACTTATTTTGTTCTCTTTCTGTGTCTGCCCTTTAAAGGGCAGCTGTCACACTGTGTTGAGATTTACAGCTAGGCTGAAATATTGGTGGCTCTTAGTCCAACAAATCTGATTTCAGCAAACCCCTAATTTTATGATATGCTTATTAGAGAGCAGGTGAATTTAAGACAGGTAGAAGATGTCAAGGCCGACCTCTACTACAATATAAGGATGTTTGCAAATGGGACATGAATGATGCAGGTATTGAAGTGGACAGATGGGAACAAAATGCCATGGACAATACTGTGTAGAGGGGGCACATCAGGAAGGGAATGAGAATGAAGACAGAAATTATTGCAGAAAGGAGGAGAGCTGAGCGTCTGAGAAGACACACACTAAATACAAATGTTGACAACAACGGTCTCTGAAATCCCATAGTATAGTTGTGGAAGACTTTTCTTAACCTGGGCAGGTCTTGCTAGTCACCTTTCCCATCCCCATGGGCTGTGTCCCATGCCACCTCATTGCACAGTATAACACTTTCATCTGGAAAGGTGCCAGTAATTAGACAGCATCAGCATCTGTGGTTGAGGCTTTGGGTTTGCAAACCTGCTTTCTAATTCCAGGGTGCTGGGTTTGATCCAGCTGTGGGTCCAGCTTCGAGTGACTTGACTGACCAACTTTTGTTGGTTTCTACAGTGATGTCGAGAGCAGACTGCTCAGAAAGCAATGACAAAGTACTGAACATAAAATTGCCTAGTCAAATCACACTCCCAGCAAAGAAATTTTGCAACCTCATGTAAAAGACATAATGTTAACTTTTTTTATTAGAGAGAAGTAGGCATATTCTCTTCATCCTTCCCCCCACCCCCCAAACACTTTTTCTCAAAGGGGATCCTGGAACCCACACAAGAAAGTCATAGTCTTGGGCAGCGGTTAACTCTCAATTTCCGGAAGATTCATAAACAGTAATGATACTGTGTTGTTACTGTGAATTCTCAACCTATCAAATAGAATGATGTAACCCACATGGAAAATACACCAGATAATAATGTAGAATATACTTAGTTATTTCTGATCAACAACAAAGAAGAGGAGAATTAGTGACATCTTGAAAAATCTGAACATCAAGGAAGATTGACCAATAAACAGCACCCTGTCTTGGAAGCTGAAATATTTTGATCATATCAAGCGCCACGACTGATTGGGAAAAATAATAGCAGAACGCATGGTACCAGGAAGGAGGGGCAAAGGCCGACTAACATGAAGATGGGCACAGGATATAAGTGACCCCTCGAGTATGAAAGTACATGAGGCGGGAGAGCTAGCGAGTGACCGAGTTTCTTTCATGCAGACCGTGATGAGAGTGACGTTCTACAAGGGACCTGCTACATGATGATGGTGACTTCTGATCAAGGACAAAAGGAAGATATGACAAAAAGTAGACTACTATGATTTCAAGAACTTACACTCTGACAACCATCTCTATTTCACCATTTGTTCTTGAGATAATATCTTGAACTTCAGCAGCTGATAGCCCAGTTAGATGGACCCCATTCCACTCTAGGACTTGATCCCCTAAATCAAAAGTAATTGGATTCCATCAATGAATTAAATAACGTCATCATCATCATCATACTTCACATCATCTTCACTGTCACTATCATAATTATCACTGTCACCAGCATCATTTTTCTGAGTCCTATACAAAGTCATTTGAGAGTGTCAGCTCACTGCTTTCAGGAGGGGTTCATGGGGGCAGAAAGGAACCACAAAAGACTCAATGCTTCTTAACAAGCTTTTTGTAAAAGGCGAGTTTACTGAAATCGTGCGTGCTGGGCTGAGGGTCACAGAAAATCACAGTCAAGTTGTAAACCGCTACACAATGTATCAATTGCCCTTTTAATGGTGAACACAGAAGAAGGGAGTATATCAGCTACAGCAACGAGCAAAGTTACTGATAACGTACAGAAGAAAAAGAAGAAGAGGAGGAGAAGAAGAAGAAGAAGAAGAAGGAGGAGGAGAAGAAGAAGAAGAAAGAAAACAATCAGAAGAAGGAGAATGAAAAAAAAAGAGAGAATAAAAGAATTTAAAGAAGAGAAAAAGAAGAAGAAGAAGAAAAAGAAGGAGGAGAAGAGAACCATTTTTATTATTATCACCATCTTCACCAGTTACATCACAACCATAGTTATTATCTGTCTGGAAGAAGTAAGCCTAAAAAAATTCAAGTGAAAGTCAAGTACACTAATCTTTAAAGTAAATAGCTAAGTGTGACGCACTCCTTTCAAAATAGGAATGAGGAAAAATATGCGAAATAAATCTGGTACATAATCCTAATACTGAGGAAAGGATTCGCATGCTGGTTCCAGGGTTCTGTTCTGGAGAACAAAGAACAGACCCACTGCCCACCCCTCTACCAAACAAGCATGTCATAGGAGGTGATTTATTAGTCACATCTGTGACATTTTAGTCATATAAATAATTCCAAGATATATAAATTTAAAATAACAAACATATATACTCTGAGAACTAAGTTAGCACTATATATCTCAATTATAACCCTGAAGGCTGAACAGGATATTTTTGTTAGAACTACTACTACTACTACTACCACTACTACTACTACTACTACTACTACTACTACTACTACTACTACTACTACTACTACTACTACTACTACTACTACTACTACTACTACTACTACTACTACTACTACTACTACTACTACTACTACTACTACTACTACTACTACTACTACTACTTACTACTACTACTACTACTACTAGTACTACTAACTACTACTAGTACTACTACTACTACTACTACTACTACTACTACTACTACTACTACTACTACTACTACTACTACTACTACTACTACTACTACTACTACTACTAGTACTACTACTACTATTTTCTCCATGTCATGCGACGGAGCACTTATGGGAGTGTCCCAAGTGCTGTGATGTCAATTCTTAATCCAATATTCAAGTTACTACTACTACTACTACCACTACTAGCATTACTACTACTACTATTATTATTACTACTACTACTACTTATTAGGGGTGTTTCCTTCAAAGTAGAAGTGCATCTGCCTGAGAGGAAAGGGATCAATTGTCTGCATACATACAAATAAACCCAATCTGTGAAATGAATGTGCAGGCAAAACTCAAAATCTGGATCAAGACCATGTCCAGAAGTGAACGAACACCCAGAACTTTTTGCTGGAGTTTACAGCTGGTGAATTCTAAGGCGAAGAAGTGCAAAGCTGGGTTGATTTGAGTTTAAAACTGACATAATATCACTTAGGGCCTTCTCCTAAGGGCTCTGACACCATCTTCCCAGCTAACACAGTTCCAATACAGCTGATGTCTGGGCTGAGTGATCTCGGGGTATGGTGTCCGCTTTGAGTACTGGAAGTCCTGGGTTCAAGCCCCGGTAAAGGCTGGGATTTTTTTCACGGAGACTTCTAGTAATTTTCCCTGGTCTCTGGGTAGTATGACCGGAAACCCGTGTGTATTCTTGCACACGTAAAAAATCCCTTGCCAGTTGGAAATCAAAAAGAGTAGCCTAACAGTACTGACCGGAAAAAATTCAGTTAAAAATCTACCCAAACTATTTCAGGAGGTGCAACAGATTTCATGCACTGCGCTAAGATTCTTCAGACCCAGAGACTTGAGTTAGAAGTAAAAAGGAGCACTAATGGGTTACACCCATGTGCTATGATGTTGATTCATTGAATAAACAAAACCCCCCAAAAATACAGCTGATGCCAGAAGCAGTGTGATTTTTTTTCTATCTTGCCTTTCCTCTGAGTGTTGAGTGTCTGCAAGATCCCTTGGTTGCTCTCTGTTGGACTAGGTTAGTTGTGTATCCTTCACATGACGTTGCAGAACCAACCCTAATAGCCCCTGGCTGTTGTGTGGTTTTTCTAGGCCAATTAACGTCCAGTAGTTTGCCATTACTTTCTTGACGGTCGGCTTTCTTGATACCACTGTCGAAACTAACGCAAGGCGCATGGCCTGCAGCTGGTATTGAACCCAGAATCCCGGCATTATGAAGCGTTCGCATCGACTTAGCCACAGAGCTGACTAGTCCCTCCAAACCATCAAAATCAGATCTGCATTTTTTACTTGCTCCTAAAAGGCCATGACAACATAAACTTGTCATGCATCGAGTCTTCACCAAATGGTGCAGAACCAGTCAATCTATCAACCTCTTTATTTCCCAATACTTGTACGCCCAAAGATCTAAAGATTGGTCCCTATCAGTTACCTCTGAAACAATGGTTGCCACTCTGTAAGAAGCATGCATAATATCGAGCTGCTGAGCAAGAGAATGCAGAAAAACATCGACTGACAACATTAACCTCGTTGTTTTGAGAAGATTAAATCTAGTCACTTCCATTAGTGACAATGACTTAAATACAGATATATGCCTATATCTGCAGTGACCTGTTCTTAAAAAGCGCAGTTAAATTCCATTAGTCCTATGTGCTGCTGCCTGGTGTTTAATAGGCAGGTATATGATAAAAAAGATGACTGCATGTGGGATATGAATGACACAGGTATTGAGGTAGATTCGTGAAAACAAAATGCCATGGATCGTGTTGCAAGGAGAGGGCAAATCAGGAAGGTAATGAGAATGAAAAGGAATAATTGCAGAAAGGATAACAGCAAAGCTTCTGAGAAGAAACACACTAATGCATCTAACAGCATCAACAGTACTGAAATCTCATGCTCTAATTATGGAAGACTTTTAATATCATGGGCAATCTGGTAATCTGGTAATCTGGTAATCCTAGTTTCAGCTTCATAGCAAACGGGTCACCCCACAGTTGCTCCGCTCCTGTGCCAACGAAAAACAAATGCAGCTCACAGTATCACGCCATGCACTCAACTCAGAAGCTGGGCGACGAAACTACATCCTTCCAGTCTACAAATGGAGCAAAAATACAACGGCCCCAGTCTGGCAGCCACGGCTTAAAAAAACAAAAACAAAGGTGGCCGTGCCTAGCGTCCATTTTGACCGGAAGCATTATATGAGGGTTAATGAACGGTCACCCCAGCAGTACCCTCATTATTAGCTGGGGAAGGGACTTAGGACATTACATCCACCAGCAGGCGTGGCCCCTACAATGACCTGCTTGCCATCATGGGCGGCTCTTGCTAGTCACACTGGTGATTGCCACTGGCTGTGAGGCACATATCTCCTCATAGCACACAGAAAACTAATGTTTGGAAAGATGGAAAGGTGCCAACATATGAGTATAGTAACTAAAAAAAGTATTCAGGAAATTTCCTTATGATCCCAATGGCTTTTTGAAAGTCAAGCTGATGTCAAATTTTCCCTTAATCCTCAGTGATAGAGGTCATGGGGTCACGGCATCAGTAACAGAATAGTTTTTAAGAGAATGTATTCCATTTAATGTCTCACTCTCTTCATGTTGATTGATTGCCCCTTTATTACATATTTCAAAAACAAAATTAAAAAAAAATGTTGATAAATAAATTAAACAAAATTTTTGTTTAGTGACCAGTGTAATATGTTTTTTTTTAAAGGATTTTTTTCCCCAGAAACTCCTACAGGCTCATCACCCATTTTTTTTAAAGCATTAATGGGGCTAAAGGTTAAATAAGTTCATTCATATGGAATGACAACACCTTGTTGTCCAAGCTGCAACGTTCACGTTTTGTTTGTGTTCGTTATATTGTGATATACTTTTTGTTTGGCTTTATATATTTTCTTGGTACCAAAAGAGTTAATGGCAAAAGATAAGGGTAATGATGAAATGAACTGACCAACATCCAGTTCTCCATGCAGCTGGTCTGCTAAGATTGGATAAATGGCTGTCACATAAGCTCCGAGTTCTTTGCTGCCTGGTATTTGTTTACCTCCTACAATCTTCATGCCCAATCCACTACCTAATGGAGCAGAGAAAACATGGCTTGGATTATCAGACTGTCATCAGATATAATAAAAGGAGACATGGCAGAGAAAACATGGCTTGGATTATCAGACTGTCATCAGATATAATAAAAGGAGAAATGGCAGAGAAAACATGGCTTAGATTATCAGACTGTCATCAGATATAATAAATGAAGACAAATTAACACCTATAATATTCTCATCATCATCATCCTTTGTGTACCTTATACATCACATTAGGTTTACTGTTTATTCTTTCACTCTGTTCTATCCTGTGCAATTCTTTCAGTATCAGTATGGAATCCAGTCCCAATCTATGACTTCTCTCATCATATTGCGTCTTAGGGTTTCTTGTGGATGCTCTCATTTCATAAGTCAATTTTCCCTCAGTTAAGTGACTGTTTAGTGATTCAATCTTCCCTTCTCCTCAAGATGTGACCAATATATTTTCATCTTCTTTGTCTAACAGCTGACACCAGAAGTTATCCATACATTCTCTTTTATTTATTCACCATTCTTGAATTTATTGCATCAGTTACCGCAGAAAATTGTTTTTTGAATGCATTTAGCTTCCTCCCCCCCCCCCTCCCCCCCCCCCCCCCCCCCCCCGAGTGGGTTCCTGGGCTCCATTGTGAGGAAAACAAGAATAGATCCACTGCCTCCCCAAAGCATGTCGTAAGAGTCGACTAATTGGGGAGCTTCCTTTGAAGTCGGAGTGCATCTGCCGGAGAGGCAAGGAAACCAACAGTCTGTATTCAAGAGAATGAGATCCGTAAAACTGATGCACACGCAACACTCGGGTTCTGGAGCAGGACTGCAGTTCAGTAGTGGACGAGCAACCAGAACTTTCTGCCAGAGTGTACAGCTGGTGAATGCGAAGAAGAAGAAGAAGAAGCTTCCATTCCATTTTAATGCTTCTCTAACTGTCACTCAAACTAGGTTAGTAGCGTATCCTTTACAGAGACCAACCCCAACAGCCTCTGGCTGTTGTGTGGTTTTTCTAGAAAAATATACGTCTAGTAGTTTGCCATTGCTTACTGAATGGTTGGCTTTCTTGATACCACTGTCGAAACCAACGCAAGGCGCATGGCCCGCAGCTGGGATCAAACCCGGCATCCCGGCATTACGAAGCGTTCGCATCGACTTAGCCACAGAGCCGATGTCACTCAAACTACTGGACGTAAATTTGCCTAGAGAAACCACACAACAGCCAGGGCTGCTGGGGTTAGTTCTGCAACGTCCTGTAAAGGATACGCAACTAACCCCAACTGTCACTGGCATATAATAAAACTGAAATAACATTTGAATTGAAAATATGTAATTTTTAAATAATAAAATTTAAAAATTTAGAGTTGCCTATTTTGTTCAGTCGATCTATTTACCTACCCATTATCCTTAAAATTAAAAGTCAAGTAAAGAACATCAAGACCTGTAAGGAGAAGACAAAGAAGTACTCAGTAGGGTACTGGAAGATGAGACCAATCTGTATATCAGAGCTGGCATTTGCAGACGATGTGGCCCTGATAGCTAAATTAGAGGCACACCTTCAGTCCAACTTACTTGTCTGGAAGGAAGAGCTTGAAAAGAGAGGGATGACCATCAGTATCTCCAAAACTAAAACCATGGTGATCTCAAGAGAGGAGAAGAAACACCAGATCATGATGGGACAGTATGCATTCGAGCAGGTTAACCAGTTCAAATACCTTGGAGTTGTATTAGACCGAAATGGAGGCATTAAGACTGAGCTGGCTACACGAAAAGCAGCTGCTGGGAGACTCTTCCAGGCCATAAACCGAGGGTTTCTTAGCAAAAGAGAAATTGGCAAGAGGACAAAAATGGCTGTTTACCGCTCTACCTATGTACCAGTCCTGACCTATGGGTGTGAGTCATGGGCAATGACAACAGCTCACAGAAGCCAGCTGCAGGCCTCGGAAATGAGATATCTGAGAAAGGTGGTCCAAGTGACAAGAAGGGACAAAGTCCGCAATCAGACAATACGTCAAGATCTTGATACCCAGCCCTTACTAACCTGAGTAGATCAGTCACAGTTACGATGGTTTGGACATGTATGCAGAATGGGAGAAAATCGGCCACCATGGCAAGCATGGGAGGCTAAGAACCAGGGAACCAGACCCCCAGGACGACCCAGGGTGTGCTGGGAACACAACATCCGACAGTCCCTAACTGACAGAGGACTGGAATGGAACAAAGCCAGAAAGAAAACTGCTGATAGAGACGTCTGGCGATCTCTCTGGCAAACCTCTACACACCAAGGTAGAAGAGGAGCGACTAAGTAAGTAAGTAAAGAACCCGTTTCCACATGCTTAAACTTATTGGATTATTTTATAGATCAGTCAGTCAATCTAACAAAACCTTTCAATCCACAGGTATGCAACTAGTAACTAAACAATGACAACTCTCATTCTACTTATATGCAACTAGCAACTAAACAATGGCAACTCTAATTCAACTTATATGCAACTAGCAACTAAACAATGACAACTCTCATTCTACTTAAATAAGTAATTTCCCCCTATACAATTCAATATCTTTTACAGCAATTTATCAAAAAAGAATGGTACACGTTTTTATATTATTTCATGAAGAATTAGACAGCTAATAATTAACATAAAATAATAATTTCATCAGGTGAAATCATCTGAATTTTACTCAAAGTAAATTTTTGACTACTTTTCATTACTAAAGCTGGGACATAACCATTTATCACATTGACAATATCAATAATTAAAATCCCCCCAGCAGTCCCCCCAAAAAAAATTATTTTGCAAATTCGATCATTATCTGCAATTTTAAAACTATTATAATAATAAATAATAAAAAGTATTATAGGATAAAATACCACAATAAAACTGAAGTTATTGTTACCTGTGATGGATTTATCCTTGGCATCTCTTGTCACCAATATTCGTTTTACCGGAAAGTTGTATCTGTGTGGTTCCACAGGAAGAGGCTACGGAAAAAAGTGCACAGAGAAATAACAAACAAACAAAAACATGTGGTCTACTATGTCAATATTAACTCAGTTTTGTTTGGGTTTTTGGATAGTGAATTAACTAAAACCTGTACAGACAACAAGAAGACAGGGAAAAGATATATATTAAAAAAAAAGGCTAGGCCTTTAGGTCATATAGGGCTAGACCTATATTTTATAGACAAATCAGCACAAGATGGGTGATGTAGTCAGCATTATGCCAGCTCCCTCTACTTTCCGGGACTGCAACCGATAGTCACTCAAGGCTGGGTCGACCTGGGAGTCCAGGTAATTTTTGAAAAAAGACTGGCTTTGCCAGGGAGCGAGTCTACGACCTTTTGCAGCGAGGGTCTAGCCACTTTGCCAAGTGGACTCCTTATGTTATACATGGAGACTACAAAAACTTGGAGTCACCAGCTGGATAGAGAAGGCCCATCAGAAAGTTGAATGAAGATGGGTGATATCTGCAACAGTGAACCTCAAGGGTTAAAGAGAATGCTGAAGATGAAAAGTGTAGAAAACAAACTTCCTGGTTTTAATTCCAGCTAGTCCACCGTCTACATATGGCATGCTGAATTACGGTATGGTAGCATTCCAAATAGCAAATAGAGAACAAAGGCATTAACACAGTATCTGAGTTTAAATATCTGGGAACTACATTTACCGAAGATGGGAAATTGGATAAAGAAATTAACATTAGATGTAGGATTGACCATAAGAGATAAGATCAGGAATGAGATTATAAGAGAAAAATTCGGCACAGAACCAATTCTAAATTACATACGAAGACAGCAGGTGAAATGGTTTGCCCACTTAGAGAGAATGCCTTGTGACACCATACCATACAAAGCATACATGGAAAGAGAAGAAGGATGTAGAGCACGAGGTAGAAAGTTAAGAAGAAGAAGAGAAGAAGCATTCTAACATACTTTTTTCATCATAATTATGTGCACTGAAAGGCAGTATAGGCACTTAAGTCTCTCCACAGATTCTGGTCCTTGATATTTCGAATCAAATCCACTCAATGCCATCGCTTCATGCAGTCAAGCATTGTTTATCTTAGTCTGCCTCTGCATATTCTATTGTTGATCTTCCCAGTCATCACAGTGTTCTCCAATGCCTCTCTTTTCATCACATAACCGAAGAACACTGATTGCCTCTTTCTTACAGTTGTATCTGGTTTTTGTAACTATTTTTTTGGCCAACATTATGCTATCAGTGCTGAACGTGGACATTTACATCTTTTAATGAACAAAAAATTGTGACAACAGTGATGAAAAGCCTCAGAAGAGCTGCAGGAGTCTCAAGGAAAGATAGAATACAAAATCACGAAATCAGACGAATCCTAGAAATAAAGCCAATGTTACAGGTCCTCAAAGAATAACAAATGAAGTGGTTTGGACACCTAACAAGAATGCACTGGTACTATCTATCTGCTACAGCAAGCAACACTGGAATGTTACAACGGTATAGAGTGAGCGAAAGACCTCGGAAAAGATGGAGTGATGGCATTAATTAAAGCTTTACAGAAATGAACATCAATCTTAATAGTGCTTTTGACAGAGATTATCAATGATTGTTACATCTCCTCCCAACACTTTGCTGAGGAACAAGGTGGAAGAGAAGAAGAAGAAGAAGCCATTTTCAGGCAGTTGCTATTAGTTACCCTGATTGTCTATGGTATTTGCAGCATGTTTCTCAGAAATAGCATCTCTTTGGCCTCCAGGTTCTTCTGAATCTGTTCCAAGCTTCACGGTCAAATGGCAGCACTGATTGAACGTAACTCTGAGTACTCTTTTCCCCCTCCCATACTCACTAGAGTAAAACTCCTAACTGCAGCTACAAGTTGTGGACAATGGGCCACATAGGTTTGTGTTATAACACACAACTGTCTGGCGAATGCACCTGTACAAGTGGACAGTTCTCTAACTGAACATAGCAGAGTACTCACTTGGAAACAAGAGTTTACAGCTGGTGAACACGAAGAAGAAGAAAAAGACTTGGAAACAGTTGGAAACTGTTGTCAAAGACAAGGGTAAAAGACCCCCACATGGTTGTAGGGTAGGCAAGGGGAAACCACCACTTATCTTCCCAAGCTCTCATGAATCAAAACAGTTCCAGTATAAATTAATGATGTTAATGGCTGCTGAAAGACATCTTTATCTAGTATGAAAAATCATGAGCCACAAGCAATGTCAGATTGTCATCAGATATGCCTCTTTGCAGATGTCACATTCAAGTACTGGTGTGATGTCATATTAAAGTACTGGTCTTACACACAATTCTTGACTTAAAGAGGGAATGGAAAGCCCTCTAGCATTCACAATTAAAACATTCATCCCAATGTGGAAAGCAATTTGTTGTTGTTTGAAGCCCCGCCCTGGCTTCTGCCGGGTGCCCTGAATATAGCCGGGGCATAGATATGGCCTGATGGCTGAAAGGGGTTTCTGGGACCTCTCCAAGGGTGATCCTCATCCTCACTTTGTGTCACCGGGTGTTTATCGCTTGTGTGATGTCCTGGTGGGGTACAACTACCTACCTACCTACCTCTAGCATTCACAGAATCAGCAAAAATGGTACTCTGATACAGTGATCTGGAGGAATCTTTGTATGTCTTGCTCTGACAGATGCGATTGGAGGAGGAGGATAGTAGAGTCCTTAAGGACATTTTCTATGGTGAATTACAGATGAGTAGAAAATGTCAAGGCTGGCCTCTATTACAATATTGTCTTGACATTCGGTTTCATATACTCAGGTCAGACCATCAGGTGGGCTGACTCTAGGAACCTGCAGGTCCTCTATGGTTCCCCACAGCTTGCTCTGCATACTTTGCTCTTGAGGCCAGGTTTCTTTTCATAGAGGTAAGTATAGTGGCCAGGCCTGCAGAATCTGCTTACATATTTGTGGTCCCATCTGGCATGCACAGTATGGGGACTGTACAGTCTTTATTTTATGCATGTGGTAGTCTGTAGTGTCCTGTTCTTAGATGGAAAATTGTTGTGTATTGTTTCCCGTTGAGGCTGATGTGGATGTTTGCTGCTGGTTTGTCCTCTCCATAATTTCTTGTCATTTTCCCTTAATAAGTTATTTGATTTCTGGTAAAAACAATGAACTACAACAATATACAGATTTTGCAAAACAGTATGATGCCATGGAGGGGGTAATCAGGAATGGAATAGGGATGAAGGAGAAAATAATTGCAGATAAGTTGAGAGTGCAGCATCTGTTGAGAAGAAGCTCATTAAACAAATATAAAAGCAACTGTTATCCCATATTGAACATCCTGCCAGTCACTTTTACTTCCCAGGACATCACTCAGACCCATTTTAGACTAAGTCTACCTGGAAGCCAGGGCAGGTTTTGAAAAACATTCTCATCCATGCAGATTCCAACCCCAGAAAGTATGCTGTATTAGATCATTCAATATTATAAAATTCTCTTCTCAGAAATTTTTAACAATAAAAGATTCATTTCCAAGAATTAATAATTACAAGTTTTCATGGTAATGCAATATGTCTGCTAGTAGTAAGCCCATGGAATCTATTAGGAAGAGATAAAAAAAATTTTGTTAAGGTATAAACAACTCCTTACTGAGATGGAATATTTTTTCAAAAATGACCTTGGTTCCCAGGTCGGCCAACCCTCAAGTGGGCACCAGGTAAAGTCCTTGAAAGTAAAGGCGGTCAGCGTGATGATGAAAACATCAACCCACTAAATGCCAGATGGTGGATAAAATAAAGGTCTAGCCTTATTTGCCCAATACGCCTGAAAGGTGTGAAAAGGCCCTTTACATGTTTACTTACTTATATAAAACCACATAAAAGCAGTAAAAATAAACTCACCCGTTGTTTTCTGTCAATCTGTTTTAGAATGGTCACACCCCCTTCTGTCATATGTTTCATGATTGGCTCATCAGCATCCACACTGTTGTCACTTTCCACACGGTACATGGCATTCAACATGTCTGCAAATGATTAGAGTTTAAATATAGAGTATACATATATATATATATAGTTCTAGCCCTATATACCCTAGGTCCTTTCCTTTTTACCTACAGTACATATATATATATATATACACCTACATACATACATACATATATATATATATATATATATATATAGATATATATATATATATATATATATATATATATATATATATATATATATATGTATGTATGTATGTATGTATGTGTATTTATATATGTATGTACTGTAGGTAAAAAGGAAATGACCTAGGGCATATAGGGCTAGAACTATATTTTTATAGATCAATCGGTACAAGATGGGTGATGTGGTCAGCATCACGCCGGCCACCGCTACTTCCCAGGACTGCACCTGGTACCCACTCAAGGCTGGGTCGACCTGGGAGTCAAGGTATTTTTGAAAAAAAGTCTGGCTCCGTCAGGGCGTGGACCCATGACTTTCCGATCCGCAGGCGGGTGTCTAACCCGTAAATAAGTAACACTAGTTTTTCCTAAGTAACTATAGTGTAGTGTTTGGTAAGTAAGTAACCTTTAGTGTTTCAAAACCAAGTAGAAGAAAATTATCACATCATTAGTACATCAGGCATAAGGTGCAGATCCATATTTTTTATAGACCAATCAGCACTCAGTGGGTGATTTCCAGCATCAGACTCACCTCTTTGTCGGCGCCTGGGGCTTAGGCGTTGCGAACGCGCTTTGTAATGCTGGGATGCTGAGTTTGATTACAGCTGCGGGCCTTGCCCCTTGCGTTGGTTTTGACAGTGGTATCGAGAAGCTGACCGTCCAGAAAGCGATGGCAAACTACTTGATGTAAACTTGTCTAGAAAAACCACAACAACCAAAATATGCTGTGGTTGGTTCTGCAACGTCCTGTAAAGGATATGCAACTAAAGTTTTTTTAAACTTACCTCTTTACTTCCTCTGATATTTTATAATACCCATTTCAGGCTGGTTGACCATGACGATTTATATCAATTATGAAGAGCTACAAATGAAAACCTTAAAAGTGTGATGGTAATTACAATAACCATGACATTGTCTTGCAACCTTTCAAAAGTATTATTAAGGATGTCAAGAGTGTTAAGGAAATTAAATCATGGTGCAGATGCACACAGTCATGTCACAATGACAATTTAAAGATGACTGCCACACTTTTGAAATGCACCAAAGAGGAGCACTGTTCTTATTTCCATTTTTTGGCCAGTGAAGAGGTGAACCTACAGAAAATCATGGACAAATGAAGTTCCAGTATGGTGATGCATGCCTGTCAGTCCAGGGAACTGTGTGAGTGGTGTGGGATGGCATGGTTGTTGTAACTTCTATCATACTTTTAACATTTTCATTTGAAGTGACCTCATATAAAAATAAGCATCAGTGCTGACAAACCAAACAACTTGGGACTGATTTTCAAGTATCTAACCACTTCACTACCAAATTTTAATAATGATGAGAATACTTATGAGGATGAGGATTACCTTCCACCTCTCCAGCACTGAACTCCTCCGAGACAGGTCTACTTCCACTACCAATGTTACGTAATATTGTTCTAGACTTTGCTTTCACATCATCCAGAAGAGGCATTGCTGGTGTGACGTCACTGGTTGGGCTGGCTTCAAGATCTGACACACTCAGGTTTATACTCATTTGCTCTCTAGGATAAAAAAAAATTTAAAAAAAGAGTCAATATTGCCTGTCTGTACCACTCGTTTTAAGGTTAGAATAGGAGATCTTGAGTCAGAAGGCTTCAAGCAGCATGGCTAGTGCTTTTGCCACACACTGTGCAGGTTAGGATGTTGACTGTTTGGCTCCCAGTTACAAAAAAAAAAAACTGACATCATTCTTACCAAAGATTTCTAGCCCGAGTTCTCTAGCGTTTAGTTGGCTAAACGGACAGCACGATGACCGGGTCATGAACTCCTTGTGGCCCGAGTTTCACTCCCGGGGGTATGCAGAAAAAGCCACACATTTCTCCCAGATTTACGGTTATTTTACAATGGAATCAAGGCCGAAAGGTTGCGATATCCATAATACCTGAGCCTAAGGGGTTAACAACTCATGGCTTCTGGATACTAAAACAAAAAAAAACAAAGATCTCAACCCAGGTTCCCACTTGACAGCCAAGCATCCTAACCACTCGGGGAGTTCCTCTGCACTCTCTAGGATAAGTTTCATTATTTAATACATATTTTCTATATAAAATATTGTAAAATTTTTATAAATTGAGTATAGATTTTTCTGAATATTTGATTACATTGTGCACAAATTAAATACAGATTCTCCCATCTCATGTTCGGCTCTGTGGCTAAGTCAATGCAAATGCTTCGTAATGCCGGGATGCCTGGTTTTGATCCAGTCTTCGGGCCAATGTTGCCTTGCGTTGGTTTCGACCAGTGTTATCAAAAAAGCCGACGGTCCCAGAAATGCAATGGCAAAACTACTGGATGTTAAATTGGCCTAGAAAAAACCACACAACAGCCAAGGGCTGTTAGGGTTGGTTTCTGCAATATGTCCTGTAAATGATACGCAAACTAACCCTACCCATGTCAGTTCAGAGCCTAATTCTAAGGGCAAAAGAAGACACCCACTGACCCCTTGACAAGCATACATAAAAGGCAACAAATTATGAGTTTTTTTCTTTGAAGTTGAATGCCTCTGCCTGAGAGATGAGGAACCAACAGTCTGGATATAAGTAAGCATGTCTGTAAAATAAATGTGCACACACAACTCACTATTTTGGAACAAGACTACAGTCCAGAAGTGAATGAACAACCAGAACTTTCCACCAAACATTACAACATGTTGAACACTAAAGATTCCTGGTGTGGCCTCTGGAGCCCCATTGTGGGGGGAAAACAAGAATAGACCAACTCCTCCCAAACAAGCATGTCAGAGGAGTTTGTCAAATGAAGTCAGAGGGCATCTGGCTGAGATGCAAGCAACCAAGTCTGCATACAAGTTAGCCAGATATATGAAACAGTTTCTGGAACCATGATTTGAAGTCCAGAACTAAGCAGAATTTTTCCACCCGAGTTATAGCCGGTGTGAACACAATGAAAGAAGAAGATAATAGAGAACAAAAAGAAAGAACAGTGAGAAATATGGATTTGTCAGTAGCAAATCTTAGTCAAAATTACCTAGTAGGAATTCAAGATCAGCACTGTCACACGAATAATGCACCATATAAAGATTGCAAAGTTGAATTGTGGATCAAAAATTTGTTTTACCATTAAAAATCAGTTGGCGGGGTCAGATACAAACCCAAGACTTAAGAGCCAGCGAGGAAAGCATCCAGCCATAGTGCTCCAGTTTCAATCAAATGGCACTGTTTTAATTTTGTGTATGTAAGATAATATCAAATTACAACCTTACTATTACAATGCGTACTTACCTGTAAGTTGCTCTAATGTGTGCTGCTCTCTTCCATGTTGGTGCTAATATTTGGTAGGGTCACACTAGACACAACGATTCCAGTATCTTTCTTTGCTGTATCAGTTCCTTACCCGTTGATAAAGACTGAGTGGAATCCTCCCGTTTGCCTGAGGGAAGGCTGTGAAAAGGTCTGAACTGAGACCAGCTTCCATTGAGGTGATCGACTAGCCACCCAGCTATGTGATCCGTACTGGTCATGCTCATCATGAAATGCCTTCTTGAAGCAGATTCTAGTTGTGAGCCAAGTATTCAGTGGAAGCTATAGTTGAGATGGTCCTTGTGTCCTGAGTGTGAGACTGAAAATAGGCTGGCATGATGTCGGTGTCCTGTCACGGCTCTACTGTGTTCGGGCACAATCCTGCCGTCATGAGCATCATCTCTAAATTCTAAATGTCAGATCTCTTATCTGTCCTTTCTCTTGATCTTTCTCCTGGACTTTCTCTAGATGGTTCTCTTGAGCTTCGACAACTCTCTGGCCGGAATTCATATAAAACAGGTGGCTCCATCATCCATAGGTTTAATGGATACCAACAGCCACTGGTCTAGGCTGTGGCTTGGAGTTGTGATCTTGCCGAGATAGTCCTCATAACTATGAGTCAAACTTTGTTTCGCTCTAGCCAATTTTTAGGAGCTCATTTTTCAGTCTTGCTGTTTCTTGCAGTTGTTGTTTCTTTTCAGTATCTCATATTGCAAGAAATGCTTTCTTTTCTTCTGCTAACTTTGATTCTTCATCATCAGGAATAACATGAAGATCTTGATCGTGAAGATAACTGTTGAATCGGATCTACTAAGACACAAGAACTGACCACCATTGTAGCCAGCCTGGCCTTTTTTTCGATTTTCAGTCTGTCATTAAACTTACTTCTGGCCCTTGATTCTTTTAGATAGGAATATTCCGAGTGTAATCTGATGGTTTTTTATCTTGTTGTACCTGGCATCCCTAACTGGCTCTGATCGTGTGCTTTCTGCATCACTTATTCCAGACTGGGAACTATCATCTGTTAAATATTTCATGGTCTGAATATTCAGTGGTTCCTGACATTTGAGTTTTGAAAATCAATTTCGATATCCCTGTCCTCCTTGATCTGAGAGAATTTTGATACCATAGGATCAGACAACTGCCTCTTGTGACGCTGACGTTCGAGGGGTGACCTGCGGTGAGGATCTGGGAGTTGGGATTGTGGGACTGTTGTGCTCCTCTTTTTCTATTGTCTTGCTGGGCAGTCAGTATGCAAATGAAGAGGTTTGGATCGTTTGAATCTAAAAAAGATCTATTTCTGGCACAAGCTTCAGATTCAAGTTTCAAAGCTCCTATCTGCATCTGTAGGGCTCTTATTTTCCTCCAGCTCTTCAATTTTTCTTTTCCTGTCCTCTGTTACGCGCGTCAACTCAACCTCATCCGTGCCCCCCCCCAGTCTCTTCTTGAGACTTTTCATGGCCTCTGTGCATGGTATTAAACATAAATACTAATTAACGAGTCCACTGAATCTCATCTGTTTCATCTTTTGGCCCACATCCTAATGAAGCTGTTCTTGTGTATATGCTGTGTTTTCTTTATTGCTTCAGCCTTGTTGTTTTAAGCATGAGAAGATTCCTCTTGAGTCTAAGCTTTTCGATTTTTCCAACATCTAATAAATGCATCTCAAACTGCCTGATGAGGACTGGCAATTAGCCGTTGCTGCCTTGTCCATTTTATCACTTTCACTGGCAAATCTGCGTGTATTTTCTTTAGTAACTGTAATATTAATGTGGTTTACCAGACGTCACAGGAGTGGCCTTGGCCTTCTGTATATTCCCCATAGGAACTGGATTTGTCTGTTTGTTTGAAGCTGTCCCTAGCCCTCTAAGTCAGTATCATCATAATCAACAACTTCACCACGTTTCACAGCTGGTGGTCTGCCTCTCTTACTTTTGGATTTTGGAACTACTACAGATGTTTCCTCCTACCAGGAATGGGAGGCAACTTTCGTCGAATTTTTCTTTGCCTCTTTGCTGCTGGCTCCTTGTCTTGAGAGTGACTGAGGTCACTGGAAGAGCGACTAGTGGATGTTTTAGCACTGCTTTCACTGCTGGTGCTGCCACCACTGTCTGCATTGCAGGTCCAGCCCACGCCTCTCTCTTTTCGAGGTTCCCTTTCTCGTTCATTTTGAGATTGTTTTGTGGTGGTCTGCTGGGCGGAAAAAGCAGCAAATAGATGTTAATTTTCTATCATATGCAAACACCAAACAATCATCATGTGAGAGAATGAATAATTGATTTTTACATGAAGCTGATAAACTGAGCCCTCTTTAAGCTAATAGAAAGCATAAGGCATACGCATAAGGCATACGCTGTTTAGACCAATTGCACTCGTGGGTATAAATATATAGATGGTTAGTAAATAAAATCTGTACAATATAGTATAGAATTGTTTTGCAAAAGAATTTCTTTAATAATTCCTAAATACTTTATATGCAGAATTAAAATATTGTATGTATGTATGTGTGTGTTCATATAAATATAATGGTTAGTAAATGGAATCACTAAAATATAGTAGATAACTAGTTAGTAAATGAATTTCTGTAATATATGCGCACATGAGTGTGTGGGCATGCATGTGTGTGCGTATGCATGTGTGTATCTCTCTCTCTCTCTCTCTCTCTCTCTAACTTTCAAAGCCTCAACAAAATATTTGAACTCTATAATTTTAATCAACTAAGTTTACACATTTTCAGTTCTAATATTATATAAATTCTGACACATGCTAGTAAAAGGTTGAGAACCACAAAGAAAGGGAACAAAAGTTAAATGCATTCGAAAACAAATACCTAGAAAATTTATGAACTAAAATTGTATAACTTAAATGGGATTAAGAAATAAGAGAAATGTCTGGGCAACCACTAGTAACAACAGTTTCAGGCAGATATGTGTGTAATAATATCCCGTAAAAAAAAAGACTTCTACAAATTTCCATAAATACTGTGCTTTCTTTTAATAACAATCATTATGTGTGTGTTATCTGTGTGCGTGCGTGCATGTGTGCATGTGTGTATGAACTTATTAAAGATGATAAAATGAACTAACATGCAATTAAATTTTTTTTCTGTTTCTTTACTGCTGTGCTCTAATAGACAGTATGTCAGTCCACTATCCACTCATCATCAATCAGCTAGTCCTTAACAGAATGTCGCTCTCTTCTCGGCACGCCTGAAAGTATCCATTTTACTAGCCAGCTCTCCGGCCCCATGTGCTTTCATTGCAAATGCATCCTCAATGTCTTGTTTCCATCTTTACAGTGGTCAACCCCTGCCTCGCCTTCCACAAACTGCACCTTCCATCACCGTCTTTTCCAAGCCACCATGGCACATGATGTGGCCAAAATACTTCAACTTTTGGACAGGATGCTGTTTATTAGCCAGTTCTCCTTGATGTTCAACTCGTTCAGAATATCGATGTTTTTCCTCTTCCTGATCATGGTATTCTAAGAATTTTTCTATAATATTTCAATTCAAAAGCTCCAATCTTTTTCCTCAATGACTGAATGAGAGTCCAAGACTCACAATCGTAAGTTGACACAGGAAAAATGCATGATCTTAAAATTTTTACTTTAACCAATTTACTAGTTATTTGCCATATTTCTTCATGCTATTTAATCTCTGCACTATCCACTATAATTTTAAAAGAAAAATCCACTTACTGTTAGATTCTATCCTTTATTTTTTTTAATCAGGTGATTTGTTCTGAGGTTCATTAACATTTACAAGATAAAGAAAGTAAAGAACTCTTTTTTCAAGCCATCAATAGATTTAGCATATTAGGCTAGACTCATACTTTGATAGATCAATCAGCCTTTGATGGGCAATGTAGTCAACATTACGCTAGCCACCTTTACCTCCCAGGACATTACCCGATACCCATCTTAGGCTGGGTCGACCTGGGAACCAAGGTCGGTTTTGAAAAAAAATCAATTGACCTGCCTACTACAGAAACTGTCTATTAAAAATAGTGATCCAAATTAATGAAACAATTTTAAAAACATGCATCTTTTTTGTATACCACACCCTTCAACAGCTGCTAAAGTCAAAGTGTCTGTCTCGCAACATCAAGATCAAAATATATAACTTGAAACTTGGAGCACAACTAAAAAAAAAATGAAACCCTATTACAAGTTTTCGAAAACAAAGTCTTAAGATGAATCTTTGAACAATCAAAGATAAAAACAGCTGGGAATGGAGAGTGAAAAGTGACAACAAAATTCATAATCTGTTTAAATCACTGGCATCATGAGAGCGAATAGACTGAAATGGTTGGGGCATATTGACAGAATGTCAGATGACAGAGACGTGAAAACTGTATACACAAGGGAGATGAATGGTCGTAGACCATGAGGCAGACCAAGAAGACGATGGAGAGATAATGTCCAGACTGACCTGCAAACACCTTGTGTCACCAACTTGAAAGAGAAAGGCAACCAGAGAGATGAATGGAGGCAGGTGATATCTGTAGCAATGAACCTCAAGGGCTCAGAATGCTGAAGGAGGCCAACCAGAGAGATGAATGGAGGTAGGTGATATCTGCAGCAATGAACCTCAAGGGCTCAGAATGCTGAAGGAGGCCACGAGAGAGATGAATGGAGGTTAGGTGATATCTGCAGCAATGAACCCTCAAGGGCTCAGAATGCTGAAAGAAGAAGAAGAAGCATCTTCTTTGTCACAACACGACGCATGTAAGTCATGGATCATTTTCACAAACATGGAAGAAGAGAGAAAGATTTGGAGTTTCGCATCGGTTCCTACAAATGTAAACAAAAGAATGGGAGAAACAGGTAGAAATATTAAAATAATATTAAAGTCCATTGGAATGACAGCTTGACATAAATTAGTTTATAAATGAGAGCTATGGCAGAATTTGTTCAGGAATGAGATCTATGAACAAAATTAGTTTATAAAATGAGAGCTATGGCAGAATTTAATCATGGTTCAATGAGATCTATGAACAAAAGTAAGTTTTACTACTTGTTTTTGTCTAAGTACTGTCCTGTTAAGCATAAACATAATCAACTATAGAGTTTTACAATTTCAAATTAACATCTATTCAAATTGTTGTCAAGCAAACATTGCATGTGAACAGAACTAAATTACTACCAGACATAAGATACAACACGAATATATAAAACTAATCTCTACTAAGAAAAAAAACCCACCAGAAATATGAGGTGAAAATTAGTGAGAAAATACACGTACAAAGCTAATACTGCTAGCCTATTAAGAAACAAACAGCAAAACTTTTAATATTAATTCAACTCTCTCAGTACCATCTGATATGTCTACTAGAACTGCTAATAGAAAGTCCTGTTTGTTCATTGACTTCTGTACTTTGCTCTTTTTCTGGGAATGAGTTTTGTAATGCGCCAGCCATTTGACAGATCTGGCTTATTTATAGGAGACTGTTGGTCCTTGCCTCTCAGGCAGATGCATTCAGCTTCAATAGGAAACCTCGATCCTATCTAAGCTGGCCGGGCCCCCGTT